ACACACACACACACACACACACACACACACACACACTCACACTCACACACACAAACACACACACTACTTTTTCTTCTGTGTTTTTTTTAGCAGTAATGTCATCAGCTCCTGGGTTTAAATACTGCCCCACCACCCTTCCTTAAAACGAGGAACAGTTTTGAGCTGTGTGTGGCTAAAATAACCAGACATTCTGCATTTTTCCAATAGGACTACAAAAAATCTTAGCGAGAAGAAAAAATGGCGGATTGGCTCTGTGTTTAGCCGAGGGCCATTACCATATTTGGTAGTTATCCTGACGAAATAGATGTAATAGATAATGTGAAAAACTGAACGGGTGGACAAATATGCCCAAAACTTAATTATTAAATATCTAAATAGCAACTCCAGTGAATAATATAAGCCTTTTTGCTCACTTAGACACTTAAAATGTGAAACACACTGTGTTAATGGATAAAAAAGTGTGTTTTTCATGTTATGTCTCCTTTAAGTGTCCTTTTTTCATTCTGGGCTCTCTAGGAAAAAACAACCATCTGATCATCACTCATCTGATCCCTGCCTTGTCTACTTTTCTATTTTCTTTGAATCACTTTATCCTTTACTATTAGCCCAGGTCTATTTATTATTTCTATAAAATTTGACAATGTTTTCCATTTGTTACTGAACCTTTTCCCAGACTTTGGCAAAATAAACAACTTACCCTGAAAGTGTTTAGTGGCTGGCTTGTGATCACTAGAAAAAACACAATTCCAGTGAGATGCTGCCAAGCTGGAAGGCAGATTTGTGAAAAGTGTTTTTTAGCCCTCTGGTTCTTAGTGGAGGTTCAGGGAGCAGGAATCTGCATAATGAAAACCAGAGCATCATTGGATGAGAAACACAGTATTTTACTGCTGCTTTAAGTATATTTAACATCTTGAATGTGTGTGTGTGTGTGTGTGTGTGTGTGTGTGTGTGTGTGTGTACTGTATAGCCTTTCCTCCTCCCTATGTAGTGTCTTATTTTCCAACAAAAACAGTGGGGTGCTTTCTTTCCTCACTGAATCTGAGGGTTGTTGTCTTAGAGGTAGTGTGCTGCTGCTGTTTTGTGAAACTCTCTTGGGCTTCAGTGTGTAGGGCGGTGGTGTTTTCTACTCTGGAAAAAGAAAGTTGCCTAAGAATATATTGGAGAACATGTAAAGTGACAATGTTCAGTTTTTACCTTTAATCTATGGAAATATCCATCGAAAATGAATGAAAAGATGCCCAGTTGTTGAAAAATATTGACAGTTTCATAATGTATAAGCATAAAAATCGGGTCTAAAATACATGGGAGCGGGTCTAAGTCTGTGGGCGATGCCGTACTGGATGCCATGTTTCCTAGTACGGAAACCCATGAGGACAAAACACATTTCCTTGTAACACGTGGTTACAAAACTTTCACCAATAATAAATGTTTTGTTTTAAACATTTACCTCTTCACTCGTTCCAGTGATGAAAGGGAGTCTGATGTGCTCGTCATTTTGCTAGAGGTTGCACTCCCAGGGTTTTTGACCCTAATAGCCATCCGTTGGTAAGGTCTTGCTCGAACACAAAAATAATGCTTGCTTGCAATGATTTAGGTATGTACTGCCCCCTATTGCCAGGGAAACTACACACTGCCACTTTAAGTACATTCTTAAATGGCACTTTTTGTACTTGTAAATTACTATTTTAATTCAGGAAGTACATTTAGGTTAAAGGTGCATTATGTAAGAATGCAAGAAAGCAATCTTGTGGCCAAGTTTTGGCACTGCAGTTCATTTATATAAACAGACAATTTCTCACTCCTGTGAGTTTCATGGCTTTTGCCAGTTATGGATCAGCGCCAGAAGAGTCAAGATGACAAGCAAACATGAGTCATAAACAGTATGTTGATAAGTAGATAGATACATTGTCATATCTACTGTTAGCACTTTTGAGTGTTTTATGGTAGGGAGCGCTTACTACACTAATTACGGTAGTATGCCTCCGGCCTTAGAGGAAGTGTGGTTGTTTGTCTTGCTGTTCGCTTGCTTTTATAGTGCTGAACGACTCATTGAAGGAAGTAAAATGCCACAATTGACTTATTATTCACTTCACAACATACATTTCATTGTAATGGCGTTTCAGTCCGGTTTTGGTAGCGTTGGCCCGCCTCCGAGCAGCCAGGTTTTGTTCTCAAGCCTTCTCAGGAAAACGGATGTCTCCGAGCACGTGGGCGGGGCAAAATATGTGCAGAGAAGTTCGTGGTGTTTTCCTTTAGTTAGTAAACAGAGGCGGCTGTGTGTGGTGTTGTTTGTAGAGACTCTGATATGAATCTCACTGTTTCCTACCGTCTCACTGAGAGTGCTGCAGCAATCTGTCCTCGCCTTCGCGGCTGGAGCAGAAGGTCCAAGCAGCAGTCAGTAAAGATGTTTACTACACCTCATCCAGACTGATAAGGAATCACACATTTAGTAAGCACTGCTGGCTTATTCTACTCGCCAATCAGAGGCTCCCTCTATAGGCAGGTCAATCAATCGGTAGTGGGTGTGTTGGGTCAGCTTTGCACAAAGCGGACCACTGGAGAGCAGATCGTCATTCACCTCTGACTACCAGCTCTCCACCGCCCACCTGCTCACCTGGACACACCTGCAGCCAACTCCCTGTGCTCATCTCCCAGCCTTTGTCTCTCGATCTCCCGCTCAGCCAGACCTGACCTGCCTCCTTCCTTGGCTTCCCATCTTCCTGAAGACCGCCAGCCTCCTCTCCCCTTTTGATTATCCTCTGCATCACTATCCAAAGACTAAAATCCATTCCCTCTCCAGAACACCCCGAAACTCCTCAACCCTCTGGATCTCCGTTTTTTTCTCTCTTCCACAAAGACTTTAATAAAATACATAGAAGCTTTTACTTACCTCTGGTTCTGTGGTGATTCTTCATGTCGTGGCTCAAAAAACTACCCTCTAGCTTTACAAATTCTTGACAGTCCCCTAATTAATAATACTTACATGGTAATTACATAATACGTTCAAATGTTTCATTGTTTCTGAGTTCTTAAATAGTTATTACCATGTAACTAACGTTCAAGTCTAGTTTTTATTTTTATTAATCATTCCCAGTAAATATTGCTTTGCACAATTATTACATTTTATTACAATTATACAGTTTATTTACACAATAATACACTTTAACTTACTATGTATTTACCATGTAAGTACTTAGTAATTAGGGGACTTTAAAAGGAAGCGTTACCTAAAAGGTAATTCTTAAAAATTACAAGTGGATGTGAATGCTTTTGTATAGGTATTAGATGGGTGTAATAATAGATTCATATATAGTTCTGAAATTAGGTAATTAAAAGTAATTTGTAGTTCTAAATGTGTTCATACCACTTTAAGTTGTGCTTTTCCTTCTATTATGGTGACTGTAAAATTGCTTTAGCAGAAAAGTAAAAATAGCTTTTGCTCTGCTTAGAATTCCAACAAAATACATCAGAAGTGCTTCAATATTCTTGTCCTTTCTCTGGTTTTCACAGTTTTAAAAGCCTATATTCCATCTGATTTGTCCTTTTTAGGATGTTCTGTTGTTCCTGAAGGTAGCGGATACACCGTAGACTCAATACAGGAGGAAAAAGGCTGGGTAGATGAGGTATTGTGAGCATTAAGGAAGTAATTATTTTAGAGGCTAACATCTTTCATCTGTTTGATACAATGTGAGTCCACCACACTAAAGGAAAGCTTAATCTTCCAGAGGCCATTTTAGGCAACTTTAAACATTATTTCAGCTCAGTTCTGTTGCAGCTGGGTGGATTAAGCAAACTAAACCTGCTGATGTGTTTCAGTTACTTTCAGTGCTGATCTGCTGAAGTGTCGCAGCTTTTGTTCAACCAGACAGCAGCTTAAAAGCAGTAACACCAGGAAGTGCATTAGTCCACTAGATGGTTAACTTGCACTTCCGATGGGAGTACTAGTGATAATTTGCAAACACAACATTGATGAAGATTATGAAGATCAGCTGAAACACTGCCAGATGAAATATTTAGCTGACTGAACAACTGACTATAAATCTAGTTTGCAAACAATGCCAGTTATGCAGGTTGCAAGGTCACGCGTTATGGGGTTTAAATAGAGAAGATTGAATGATGGACTAAAGTACTTCCTCCCCATTTATTTTTTCTGAGACCGAATTACCTCCTGTGGTGACAATGTGCCTCAATAGACTAAACTATAGAGTTGGAGAAACAAATGAACTGTGTTCTCATCTTGGGTTTTCTGCACACAGCGCTTGTACCTTACGTTCTTTTATTGGCTCGTTGAAATGAAGGAAAAAAGGTGATAGACATAAAAAAAAAAGTTTGAGTACAAGAGTGAAGAGCGTGGCCTCATAAAAGTCAACCATCTGTATATGTTACGCCCCAGTCTAGGAGAGAATGCGTAACCATATAAAGGGTAACCCACAAAGCAAAACCGGAACCTTAAAGTACCAGTCAAGAGTCAGTGGAGTGATTTATTTACACTGTTTACAAAAAGATATATATACAATTTCTAACAAACTTAAAACACTGCATTTGCTTCAAGGTGAACCAAGGCCAAAATAACAAACAAAACACAACTACCTCAACCCCCAAAACACTGACTAAGCCCTAAACAAACAAAACAGTAAAATAAAGACATGTGTCTAAACCCTAACTCCCCGTCTAAGGAAAACAAGTGAAAAAGATGTCAAACAAAATGGCAGTTCACCTCTACTCAGCAGCAACAAAACAAACCAATCCAAGTAAACAAAAAAGAACAAATCACTTCCACAAAGAACCTTCTAAGACCTCAGAAATATTGAAGTACCACCAAAAATGGAAAACACAGAAGAACTGGGGGAAGACTACAACAGTCTTACTGCCAACAAACACAATCACTTCCTTCTCCCCCCAACTGGAGGCGTGAAGATCTGGGGCTTTTAACGACTCTGGTAACAGGAGGAGCCAATGGATGTTTCCCTCCAAAATCTGGTGAGGATGTGGCAGGCTCT